TTGAAAGTGGCAGAGCCCCCCGGATGGAGATCAGTTACCATGACATCCCCATTTTCTGGCCTACTGGGGAAGCCACAGCTGAGCAGGAAAGCTGGGGTTGGGAGATAGGAAGGTTACAGACAGGGAAACATAACAGGTAATTATGCTCACAAAGTTGCCTTCAACAAATGATGTGCATTCATAAAGGAACATGCTCAATGATGCCAGTACTTGATAAATATTTGTATGCTTAGACAACAGTTAATTTTTGGTACGCTTGCCTCAAATAGTCTTTTTAACACACAAAATACACACTGAATTTGTACCATAGGATATGATGGACCTGAAGAAGTTCTCATCTATTCTGAATGTCATTAGGTGCATAGATTCTTAATTTATAAACGGGTTTATTCTCTCTTTTTTTGCTTTTTTCTTTTTCTTTTAGTGAGGTATGGTTCCTTCTGGTTTGGATTTACAGGAGGGGTTTTCTTTCACTCTTATGTAAATTAGTCAAGCTGTAAGGCAGATAAACCCTTGTTAAACCCACTGCCATCATCCTCAAGAGATTTATTTCCAGTGCTTCTGGGATTAGAACACATCTAAAGAAAAGAGCTTTTGGTAAATCATATTATATGTCTTGTTTGCTTTTGGGGGCCTCGCACCCTATATCATGCATATGTATAGCAGCCTGAATTTAGATAAATGTGCATGCAGTTGGATAGACTTACACTGAGACAAACCAATCTATCCTAATAATACATGAAATATGTATAGTATAGACATGGTGATATCATAATGTCCACTTTTGTTCTGAATAATCCCAGTGAGAATCAGTTTTTGTCAAGTCTAGCTTTGTGACATAGGTGCTAGAATAGCCCAAAACCGCAGCACAACCCAGAAAAAATAATTATAATTCTCTGTCTTGTTGCTTTCTTGGTCCTTAGGTATAGGGAAAATCTCCCACTGCTCAAAGGAAGGAGAAATTCCTCCTTACCTTATCTAGATATGGAACTATGCTTCCTATATGTCTATGGAGATTCTCAATCATCCAGGTCATGGTTGTCCCAAAGGTGCTTTTTCAAGAGGCAACTGGACTTTCTGGTTTTTCTTTGAAGACATTTTGCTTCTTATCCAAGAAGCTTCTTCAGTTCTGGTGTCTGAGGACAGAACGGCTTCTTGGACAGAAGTGAAATATCTTCAAAAAAAACCAAAGAAATTCCAGTTGCCTCTTGAAAAAGCACCTTTGGGATAGGCTTTCCCACAATATGCAGTCTAGGCACCTAAAATCAGCCTGGAAGGTTCTGAGTAGGAATCTCAACCATTTGAGGAGGACTAAGCGGGAAAGTGGCTCAAAGGTGGCTCAGTGGCTAAGACGCTAAGCTTGCCGATCAGAAAGGTCAGCAGTTCCCCGGTTCAAAACCCTAGCACCACGTAACAGAGTGAGCTCCCATTACTTGTCCCAGCTTCTGNTTTTATTCCTTCACTCACCCACACACGCAGGACTGGTGCCACTCCACCGAGGGCGGCTGACGTTGAGGCAAATGAGTATCTCTTCACCCCTCAACTGGAAGCCTGACTCACATTTGAAAGTGGCAGAGCCCCCCGGATGGAGATCAGTTACCATGACATCCCCATTTTCTGGCCTACTCGGGAAGCCACAGCTGAGCAGGAAAGCTGGAGTTGGGAGATAGGAAGGTTATAGACAGGGAAACACAACGTAATTAGGCTCACAAACTGCCTTTAACAACTGATATGCATTCATAAAGGAACACGCTCAATTCTGCCAGTATTTGATAAATATTTGTATGCCTAGACAATAGGCTTCTGTTCATTTTTGGTATGATCACTGACTCAGATAGTCTTTTTAACACACAAAATATGCACTGAATTTGGCCATAGGATATGATGGACCCAAATAAGTTCTCATCTACTCTGCATATCATTGGGTGTGTATATTCTTAATTTGTAAACAAGTTTATTGGCTCCCCCTCCCTTTTTTTTTTAGTGAGGCATATGGTTCCTTCTGATTTGGATTTACAGGAGAGGTTTTCTTTCACTCTTATGTAAATTAGTCAAGCTGTAAGGCAGATAAACTCTTGTTAAACCCACTGCCATCATCCTCAAGAGATTTCTTTCCAGTGCTTCTGGGATTAGATCACATCTAAGGAAAAGAGCTTCTGGTAAATCATATTATGTGTCTCATTTGCTTTGGGGGGGGTTGCTCCCACCCTATGTCATGCATACATACAGCAGCTTGAATTGAGAGAAATGTGCATGCAGTTGGATAGAGCCACACTGAGACAAACCAATCTATCTGAATAATACATGAAATATGTACAGTGTAAACATATCATAATGTCACGGCTTGGGACCAGATTATGTAAGGGACCGTCTCTTGCCGATCACATCTACGTGACCCATCAGAGCGGGGAGGCAGGGAAAGTTGCGAATCCCATCCCAAAGAGAGATACACCTAGTGGGACCCAGAAGAAGTGCCTTCTCCGTGGTGGCTCCCTCTCTCTGGAACATCATTCCCCCAGAGATTAGAATGGCCCCCTCTCTAATACTCTTCCGGAAAGTGCTGAAGACCTGGTTCTGCCAGTGGGCCTGGGAAACCCGGAGTGGGATGGAGCCCATTAAATGGTGTGTGTGATCTGCTGTTGCCGGAGTAGGGGTGGGTGGGAGGTGAGCAGTGGTAGGATTCAATTTTTTTTTTACTACCGGTTCTCTGGGCGTGGCTTGGTGGACATGACTGGGAAAGGATACTGCAACATCCCCATTTCCTCCCAATCAGCTGGGACTCGGGAGGCAGAGAATAAATGGGGGTGGGAGCCAGTCAGAAGTAGTATTTACCAGTTCTCCGGACTATTCAAAATTTCCGCAACCGGTTCTCCAGAACTGGCCAGAACTCACTGAATACCACCTCTGGAGGTAGGGTGATTTTGTTAAATTGCACTATATTAATTTATTTGATTCTTTTTGTTAGTTTTTGTTGTTTTCAATGTGGTTTTATATTCTGCAAGCCGCCTTGAGTCGCCATAGGCAAATAGGTGGCAATATAAATTCAATAAATAAATAAATGCCCACTTTTGTTCTGAATAAGCCCAGTGGTAATCAGCTTTTGTCAGGCCTGGCTTTGTGACACAAGTGCTAGAATGGCCCAAAACTTCAAGCACAACCCAGAAAAAAATTATTATAATCCTCTGTCTCGTTGCTTTCTTTCATCCTCAGGTGTTATTGGGAAAATCTCCCGCTGCTCAAAAGGATGAGAAATTGCTCCTTACCTTATCTAGGTATGGAACTAGGCTTCCTGTATGTCTATGGAGATTCTCAGTCATCCAGGTCATGGTTGCCCCAAAGGTTCTTTCTTTCAAGAGGCAACTGGGCTTCCTTGCTTTTCTTTGATGACGTTTCGCTTCTCATCCAAGAAGCTTCTTCAGTTCTGACGCCTGAGGACAGAACTGAAGAAGCTCCTTGGACAGAAGGGAAACATCTTCAAGGAAAAACAAAAAAAGTCCAGTTGCCTCTTGAAAGAAAGAACCTTTGTGATATGCTTCTCATAATATGCAGTCTAGGCACCAGTGTTAGGATCCTGATGATTTAACAACTGTTTCGGTGGTTGGGTGCTTTGCGTGCGTGCACACCTGACTAGGCATGCATGCACAGTTTTAACAAAACTTACCTTCGATGTTACTTCTGGGAAGTAACACAGCTGAAGCACAGGAATCCACTCTGCCACGCGACTCAGCTTAGAGGTTATAGGTAAGTAAAGTGCAGAGGTGGGCAGATGGGCCCACCTGATCACCATAGCGAACTGGTTCGCTCCCCAGCTAATCGTCGGTGCTACCAGCTTTCCCAAACTGGTCCAAATCTGCTTAATCCCACCCCTGCTAGGCATCCATTACTAGCCTGGAAGGTTTTGAGTAGGAATCTCAACCAATTGAGGAGGATTAAGCAGGGAAAGGTCCTTTAAAAGAAGGTGGGATGAGGAGGTATTCATGCCTTACCCTGGTAGTGGAATCTGAAGACACCAAGGGGGGCGCGGTGGTAGCTCTGGAAATGAATCAGGACCTGATTGGTTGGGCTACGGATCACTTGCCCCTCAACCATCAATGACTCATTGGCCAAGACAACAGGCTTCTCCCCTCCCAGACCTTCCACTGTCAGTGAATCCTCCTTGGACAAGTTCAGAGTCTGCACCTGGAAGTCATGGAAGTTGACAAAGGGAGGGAGAAGGTTAAGAAGATGACCACACCTTTGAAAGCTTCACATATTTTTTAATATTGTTCAAGAATCTAAAGTTAAGAGCAAATATTATCAGGAAAATTATTGGGGAAGGGAGGGGACAAGGGGAAGCACATCTGGAAAACAGGACTTGAACCAAATATTCATCTAATGGACAGGGCTGGACATGCTTTAGAAATGTTTCCAAAGTCCTTTGATTCTTGAACAATTACAACATCACTTTGGTGTTTCTTAAAGCCGCTTTAAGCTTGAAACAGAAAGCTTTTCCAAACAGCAGGGAAGTGCTGTACCTCTGCTTTCCCACTCAAGTATACAGGTAGTCCTCGACTTACAAACACAATTAGGGTCAGAATTTCAAGGTGGCTGTTAAGTGAGCCACATCCAATTTTATGAGTTAACCATTTTTTTTGTTAAGCGAAGCACTGCAGGTGTTAAGTGAATTGTGTGGTTGCTAAGCAAATCAAATTTCCCCGCTGACTCTGCTTGTCAGAGGTCAGCTGGGAAGCTTGCAAATGGTGATCACTATGACCCCAGGATACGGCAAGAGGTGTAAATACTTGCCGGTTGATAAGTACCCAAATTGTGGTCATGTGACCATGGGGGATGCTGCAATGGTCATAAGTGCAAGGACCAGTTGTACGTCACTTTTTTTCACTGCCGTTATAACTTTGAACGTTCACTAACAAATGGTTGTAAGCAGTGGTGGGATGCTGTCAGTTTAACAACCGGTTCGGTGAGCATGTGTTTTGTGCGCCTAAAGCGCTTGTGTGCAGTGCGGAAACTGGAGTATTTAGAAGCTCAGCTGCTTACCTTCCAAATCAGCAACGGTAAGTAGAACAGTGAGGAGCGGGGGAATCAGCTGTGCATTGAGATGAGCTAGAAAGCAGGAAATAAAGGACCGGATAGGGCAGGGGCGAGTGGGAGGGGCCAATCGAATCGGTAGCGCCGAACCTGCTGAATACCACCTCTGGTTGTAAGTCAAGGACTACCTATAATGTGGTAAGCTATTGCTGAGCTTTTGTCACCTTCTAAACACTTTTTTGGGGGGGGAAATGATTGGTTCCACCACAAAACCGCGGTCGATAAAGCGCGCTCGACGAAACCGCGTACCTGACGTCATCACAGCGTGATGAAAAAAGCACGCTGTGAGCGGTAAAGCTAAAATTAACACATAAACCTAAACCTAACCCCCCGAAACCTAACCCTAAACCTAAACCTAACCCTTAACCTAATGCTAAACCTAA